GGTCATCTGTGCAGAACACGTCAAATCCAGTTTATAACACGCAAACTTTAGTCAGATTGGTGCGAAGGGTGGGGCTGAAAAGCGGAAACAGTACATCTCTGGAAATGCATAAAGATTCATTTTTTGGAAAACAGAGTTAAGTGAAAACTGGCCCGTTCGAGGGGGCACGATTTCGCCATGTACTCCAAGTGAAGGGAGAAATGAGGGATTTGACTATGAGCATTTTGCCATCGGTATTCACTCAGGCTATTTATTGAAAGAACAACACAAAGCACGAAATTTATGTTTCTTACACATTAAAACATTTTGATCACATTTTCTTGACAGGTGGTGAAAGTTGCTGACAGTGTTGATAAACGGTGGACCTTGCGCACTGACGAATAGTTTTTCTCAAGTACATAAGCGACCACTCGGACGGCATCCATAGAAGCTGCACACATACATCGAGCAGGCGGCGAGTGCTAGTGAATTCTTACAGCTCGGGATCGAAGGGTCCTTCGTATGGGAGCATAAAAATAATACCACTGAAATGAGGCACCGACACCTACGTCCGAGGGGTTTTATTAATGTTGGCAATAGCGCATTCCCAGCTTTCAAAGGATTTATTGAAGACTGCCCGAAAAGCGGCACTTGATCTGCTTTAAAACGTACACTTTGAATTTTTATGGTTTTCCCCTTTGTAGTATATCTGGTTTTCTGGTGCCGAATTAAAAAGATCATTCACCTTCTCGTCGCAAATGCGGCACTTGTTTTTGACTGGCGTGAATTTGCATGTGTCTTTGCAAGTTTCCTTTCCGCCCGAAGCATGAATTGCAGTGATCGCATTTGAATGGCTTCTCACCAGTATGAGTTTGCATGTGTGTTTGCAAGTGTGCTTTCTGGCCGAATCCCGAATTGCAGTGATCGCATTTGAACAGCTTCTCACCAGTATGAGTTTGCATGTGTGCTTGCAATTGTGCTTTCTGGCCGAATCTCGAATTGCAATGATCGCATTTGAACGGCTTCTCACCAGTATGAGTCTGCATGTGTCTTTGCAAGCTTCCTTTCTGCCCGAAGCTCGAATTGCAGTGATCGCATTTGAACGGCTTTTCACCAATATGAGTTTGCATGTGTCTTTGCAAGTTTCCTTTCCGCCCGAAGCTCGAATTGCAGTGATCGCATTTGAACGGCTTTTCACCAGTATGAGTTTTCATGTGTGTTCGCAAGTTTGATTTCAGGCTGAATCTCGAATTGCAGTGATCGCATTTGAACGGCTTTTCACCAGTATGCGTCCTTAAGTGAATCTTTAGCCGTAATGTGGCAGAAAAGATTTTACTGCAGAAACGGCATATTAATGGGTGTTTATCGATGTGAGTTCTGTTTCGACTGTGATCTGCACATTCGGCGCTTTCGCTTACAATAGCCGACGTCGTCCAGCGGTCTTTCGAAAGTGACCGGTGGCTATCAGTGTAGTTTGTTATGTCGTCCTGTGTCTCATTCTTCAACTCGATTAGGCTTGCAAGCTAAAAAATAGTTAAGAATCAGTCGTCTTTTTTATTAACGCCAAATAGTAACAACTTACTCGTTTTTTACTCTAAAAGAACTTCCACAATTCAAGTCTTTTGGCAGAGGGCTGAATTATACTCTTCCTATTTCCCAGTTTGTTTTTTTCCATAGTTTGCAGAGATGGTACGGTTGAAATACCGCTGCTGTCGAACTGAAGGCCGAAATTTCGGTTCTACTTATGAGGCATCAAGCCCTTTATGATTCGCAGGTTTGTTTTGACGTTATTCGGTGTTGGCATGCCAAGACGTCAAACCTTCCACCAGCTTGCTTCTCAGCAACTCTCGAAAGAGGGGAGTTGTCGACAGCCCTAAGAGGGACCACTGACAGAAGTACTTCCGCTTTTCTTAGATAGCGCATAGGGTAGAAGGTTTTTATTTAAGCGTTTTTGCTTATATGCAAATGCAAAACACGTATTGTGACGACCCCGGTGTTTGTGTGTCCAGATATTTCAACTCGGCACCCAAGCAAGCTTCGGCGCCAAATTTTGCTGATGGGTTTTCACGGCTAATTGCCACCCCAAGACCGGGCTTAGTCCCTGCCCACGAGGGGTGAACGTTTTGGAGTGAAAATCGCTAACTTGGGAACCAGAAAAGCTAGAAAGCTGAAATTTTGATGTTATGCCCCCCGACTACATAGAACTCAAAGATTTCAAATCCAGCTCCCAGATGAGCATGGTTCCCGCGTATGGCCCCGTGAGAGTTCCTGGCGCTAAAACCGGCAACTCGGGAGCCCGGAAAGCTGGGGAGTTGAAATTCCAGAGGATGTTCTAAACACATGTATAGCTTAAATTTATCAAATTCAGCTTTCGGGCGTGCGTGCTTCTCACGCACGCCCCGCGAATATTCTTGACGGGATAGTGGCTAACTCGCGAACCAGAAATGCCGGAAGGCTGAAATTTCCAGGGAATTTCCCCGCCCATGTACGACTTAAATATATTAGACTCAGCTCGCGGGCGTGTGTGTTTGTCACGCATGGCGCAGTGAAAGTTTTTGGCAGGAAAATTGCTAACACAAGAACCAGAAAATTTAGAAAGTTGAAATTTCGACGAAATGTCCCCTGTCCAAATACCGCGTAGACAATTAACTTCCCGGACTTCGAGGACCAGTATACCACGCATTTCTAGCTGCTGAGTTTCCGAGCGATCCCATTACCGCACGAAATGTTGCAAAAACGCGTAATCACACGGGCCCGCCTGGTGTGCGTCGCCAGTGATTCTCTTATTCTTCCCACTCCCACTTTTAGATAGAGAACAATCTTCTTTAACTGTTTGTGCATCTTTCAGAAAAAACCGGAAAAAGTGAATTGGGATGAACCGCATTCTCTGTAATTAAGGACTATCAGCCTGGGCTTGTTAAAATTTTTTCATTGTGCATTTTTGTATGTATACAGTTGCTGCAGCACATACTGTGATGACCCACGGTGTGTGTACGTATGTGTGTGTTCGTCTGTCCGGGTACTTTTACTCAACAAACACGCAGGCTTTGATAACGAAAACTTGCTAGTGTGTTTTCTGGCCAAGTGCTCCCATAGGAAAGTGATATCAATTGTCATGCACGTCTACGTTCCACGCATGGGCTCGTGAAAATTTTGGTACGAAAGTCGCTAACTCGGCGGTTTGAGAAGCTAAAAAGTTGAAATTTTAAAGGAATGCCCTTTACTCATGTACGACCAAAAGTTTGCAAACTCAGCTTCATAGAACCGTCCAGTATCAAGTACAGGCACACAAAAATTTTGACGGGAAATTTGCTAACTCGAGATCGAGAAAAGCTGGGAAGTTGGAGCTTTAAATGAATGTTCCCTGTTCCCGTACAACTGAAGAGTTTCAAATTCAGCTCCTCAGAACCGATCGGGTTTGACATAAGAACATGCAAAAATTTTGGGAAGAAACAGGAAAAGCCTGGTGCGCTGCAGTCTAGAGTCTTCAAAGATCGACCGTTCAAAGAAAATTTCTCATCTTCGTTTTTGCAAAACAGCAACCATCCATACAGTTAACGACCTGATTACTTCAAGTTTAATGCAAAAACGCATGGTCGCACCGGCAAGTCTGGTGCATTCTAGTCTAGAGTTATGCCTCTTTCGCACTTATGCAGTGCAGAAATGCATATTGTTGAGCGATTGTCTGTATATGTGTGTATTTGTACCAAGTTTTCATCTTGAGACTTACTAAATCTACAAGGCTGAAACTTTGTCAAATAACTTACACCTAAATGAACGCCTACTTCCGCATGGTTCCCACACAGATGTGTGAAATGTTTTTTGGAAAAAGAACGATTTCAAGCTAGTGCAGACTGAAAAATTAAAACTTTGCAAAAATATTCCTTGCTTACGTCCGACTCAAAGACTTCAAATTCAGCCTTAACGCACCCCTAGGTCTCATGCACATTTGATCAGCATCGCGCCAACTTGAAAATTATGCTGACTGGGAAATTGTAGGGAGCTGTAATTTTTCAGCGCTGTTTGATGCCCACTGATGAGCCGATAGAAATTGAGCTTTTCGGCACCTCTGCGTGTTATGTATGGTAACATTTGACTTACACACTTTTGTAAATTCGGAATTTTTTTGCAGCTAGGGGATTGAAACTTTCTAACTGTGGCCAGCAAAGGAGCTTTGCCAGTTGGACATAAAAGCAATTTGCGCGTCCCTTTCTTGCCTTACTTATGAACACGTGAAATTTGACATAACTCCGCAATCGAATTGTCTAGAATGCTGAATTTTTTGAGCACGGATAGGAGTCACTGTAATAATTTTTGACAGTTATGGTGACAAGTCTCGATTCTTTTAGCTAAAAGCATCTGCTGGAAAAAAACAGTGCCGCTAGCGACAAAAACCTGCTAGGGAACTGTGCAAAAAAGTATCTTCGTTCCGACGCGTGGCAAATTATTTGAAAATTATCTAGCTGTTTGCTAAGCAATTTTTCCGCCAAAACTTTTGCGCGCCCCTAAGTGAAAACCACTCACACCTGTGGGCTATACTTGAAATCTTTGGGGTGTATTTGGACGGGAGAAAATTTCCTAACATTTCAGCTTTCCGACCTTTTCGTTCCCGATTTGACAGTTCTCCCGCCCGAATTTTTACGTGCCCGTGTGTAAGAGCCACGCATGCCTCCAGACTGGATTTAAAATCATCAAGTTATTCGAGAGCAATTAACGCACTCTTAAAATTTCAGCCTTTCGCCTTGTCTGGCTCCTGAGATCGCTTTCTCAATAAGAAATTTGCTTTTTTTTGAGGCGTCCGGATGTTGGACCCAAGCCTACACAAAAGGTAATATTAAAGCGGAAGGGTCGCACAGCGGGTGAGCATATACCCCCGAAATTTCAGTATTTTAGCTTTTCTGGTTCTCGATTTGGAAGTGGGTGATAGAAATTGCGAACGTACAGGCACACACACACACACACAGACAATATGCGTTTCTGATTGCTGTATCAGCGCTGTAATACTGCACAGCAAAAACGCTTTACAGCCCTTGAAAATAGAACCGATAACTGCTAACGTTTGTTTGTTGATAACAGTATCCAGCCAACGAGAATTCCATCTTTTCGCTCGGCATTGGTTGAAGTGAAAGTTGTCTGTTTTGTCCGATCGCCGCTTCGGCATGCAAGTTTATGGGTGGCCGAAAGTCGCATTGCTTGAAAATTATATCACAGACGCTTTCGAATAAAGCAGGCTTCGTTCTGGCCAATTCCGCAACAAATAAATCTTCGTTCGTTAGCACGGACAGACTGGAGGACTGTGATGCGAGCACTTGTTCGTTAAGCAAACTTCCGCGGCAGATAGAGCGAAGTGAGCTACCCTCACCAACGTCACAGCGCTCCAAAAATGCATCTCTCTGAAAAAGCAGAAAAATCACGGTTGTTTCAATACGACTACTTCTATAAGTGTGTCAAAACATCTAATGTTGCTGGCAAAATGGCTAGCCATTTGGAGTGAATGATACTTTCATTTTTCGCAAGCTGAAAATCATTTGACGTTTTGTGCTAAGCACTGGCATTTACCAAGCATTTATGAGCACTTTACTCGACGCTCTATATAGTTATAGTACGTGCATATATGTATGTACATATAGGTCGTTTGTATATATTTGTAAATTCAGAATTTTACATACTTACACGTTTGTATATATATATATGTATGTATATATATACATATATATATACATATATATACATATATATACATATGTATATATATATACATATATAAATAAACGACCTCTCAAAAATATTCGTTTCTGCACCTTTATGTCTTTATGTTACAAAGCAAAAATGGTTTTTCGTCAGTATGAGTCGCATTTCTCCTTGCAAGCTTATTATGCGTTTTTTGCAGCTATGCAATGCAGAAAACGCATATTGACGAGAGGTTGCCTGTGTGT